CGGTGCAGCCGTGCCCCGAGCCAAGCGAGCGTGGGCCGAGCGCCGACCAGCGCAGGCCGCGAAGCAAGTCGAAATTGAAACAGAATGAGAAATGGGCTTCGACCCACATCGCCCCGCTAGCCTGGCTAGCTGGCCTGGCTGGCCGCGGTGCGCCCCGCGGTGGCCAGGACGACTCGAGAAAAGGGTTCGTCCAAACAGAACACGTCCCTTGCCAATCCATCAGGCAGGAAAGAGAGGGGAAGAGAGAAGGAAAAAACGTCCTCTGCGCCGATCTTTGCAAATATGGATTCATTTCGTTTCGCGAGCCAAGAGCAAAGAAACCCCACACATGCCAGGCTGTTTTCGTCCACTTTTCCCCGGTTGTTCTGCGGATTCCGCGCCAAGGGCTCAAAGGGACCGGCAAATTGGCATCGACTCTCGTGCCCATTGTGTGCCGGCCTGTCCATCGAAGCCGGCTTGAAAATTATTCGTCATGGAGAATGGAAATGTTCCCGAAGAGAAAAAGTAACAAATACATTCACTAAAACTATTGTCTCGATGCACACACTAAACACTCGTGGAGTGTTTGTACCTGAAAAAGTATCGGCAAGGACAATAAAACCAAGAAGTCAAACATTGTGCAAGATCAGTCCCCTCCCTATTTTTGCCAGTCTCTATGTTTGTCTGCAGGTGACGGGGCGTGTGGGACTGTCGCAATAAGGGCGCCCTCTTATTAGGAACGTAAACAAGAATCAGTGCGCCCTCCACCAACCTCCGCCCCCCTCTCCCCTCCCCTCCCACTCCCACGGACCGTCCCGTGGTACCACTTGCGCCTTCTAGGACCACTGTTATCACCATTACCCCCAACCCAATCCCGCGTTTCCTTTTGTCCCACCTGTGTACCCACGTATATACGTAGAACGTGAGTAGTGTTAGGGCCAACAAAAAGGAACGCAAAAGCAATACAAAAAGACTGGAAAGGATTCCGAAATAGAAAACGCGCCGGGAGAAAAATGGCAGCAGAACCGAAGAGCGGACTAAATCGTGAGGTGTATATTAAGCTTGGATGAATGATCTGCTGCAGCGGTCCGCACCGGGGCTCAGCCTCTCCACGCGGTCAGCCAGGATGGCCGGGCAGGGCTTTGGCGTCGTTGGCGTCGCTCTGTCTCTTTCGCACCTCTGGGCGCCCCATGAGTGCGAGTGAGACAGAGCGACGGACACGGCTCTCAGTCTGCAGGGCAGCTCCAACGGGCAGCGCTCCGCCTTCAGAGGGGCTCGAGACGTCATCCGCAGCGTTAGGTCTCCCCCGAAATTAAGAATCCTCTCATTTCATTTCGCAGAGGAAAATCCCCTCCCGCTTTTGGTGGACAACCCGATGAAAACGAGCTAAAAAGGAACGGGCTGTGGCGTAGGGGAGGAGCTGGAGCGGGGGGTTGGAACTGGAAGAAGGGGAGGAAATGGCACCACTGGCCGGGCCGGGCCTCGCGGGGCCTCCCTGCAATCCCGATGTGTATAGACATTTGTCAGCGGGCGTGCTTTCTGGGCGCCGGGAATCACTAAACATGGCGGAGCAGTCACCACGCACGTCCCTCTCATGTGTACATCCACATCGTTTGCGCGAGGAAGACGAATTGCTCAGACTCTATGTTGCAAAGATCTCCAGGGTTCACCGTGAGACTATTTTTTGGCGTCTTAAAAAGTAATTCATATGTTTTCCAACTGCAAAAAGCCTTAGGGGTAGAGGGGTTCCTGGAAGGGTAGGACCGTGAGATGCTCTGAGCGCCAGCAGGGCGTGACCCTTGGAAACTAAAACATCCGAGCACGTTACCGGGGGCAGCATCTGGGGAGGACGGGAAAAATTCGGGCTGATGCAGATGAAACTTTCAAACGCGGTGCGGACGACGTGGCAAAACGATTAATCTTCTTTTTCTGTTACCTTGCGCGGCGCCCGACGGATAGGGTGAAGTGGCCTTCAGGCCAGGAAAAACCAATATGGATCAAGGCTCGATTTATTTATCGAGGGGACACACAAGTTATCGGCTGCCGGCGCGCGAAAATCGCGTGTGAACAAGTGGCCACCAAAAAAATCACAAAACTCTGTTCCATTTAAAGAAAAACTGCAAAGGGTGTGGTCGTTTTGCAGTGGGGCTGCGCCGGGCTGTGCCGCGCTAGCGCTCGCACGCAGTCACTCCCGTTCGAGTAGCCGGTGACTGGGTCCCAGTCCCTCTTCACCCGAATTGGAGAGGGCCCGTCGCCCACACGTACTGTGTGTCTTGGAGAGGCTCCCCCATCCCTCGCCCAAGAGCCAGGCGGGCGAGCGCGTATGTGGGGGAGCTTTCAACACTTCCAAATAGTTTACATTGAATATGGAGCCCAGGGACGACGCGACCGGAGGGAGCGACGAGAGGCCCCTGGAGGGTGGGGGGTGGGAGTGGAGGGAAGGGTTGAGGAGCATGGGAGGTGAACGGTAGGGGTGAAGCGAGATATTAAAGAGAGAGCACCCCACCGCGTCAATCGAAATGTGATGCGGTGTGTCCATCATCTCGCGATTTTGCCACTCGCTGTGTCGAAACCGCGAAACGAACAGCAATCCTAGTGAACGGGCCGCAGCGCCCGAATCGGCCCGAATCGGTGTCGCGACACCCGCCGTTAAGGTGCAGACAGGACGGCCGCCGATCACGACAGCGCCGGCGCCATAAAACGCTACTCGGCCCCTCGATCCATATAAATATATTTATTGCTCGTCTTTTACGGCCGGAAATTCGTTTATTATTACCATAATTTTTTTACGGTGCGGAAAAGCCGCGCGTCAGTCGGACAGTGCCTGAAGCGTCGTGTGTGCCGCTGTCCGGCTCACGCCCCGTCACACGGCAAAAAAATGGAGACGTTCTTGTCAGCGGGCTCTTCCCTCGCGTCAACGGGCCGCTTGGGTATGCGACCCGGGGGCCGTGCGGGACCGGCAACCCCAGGGGGCTGTGGCGCCTTGTCGCAGCAACAACATCGGGTCGGCTGAGAAAAAATGCCGCCGGCCTTCTACCGACAGTGCATCGCACCTCCCGAAGCACCTTGCCAACACCGCCGTGGAGCGCAGCGACCCGGAAAGCCCTGCAGTGATGCCCTGCAGTGATGCCCTGCAGTGATGCCCTGCAGTGATGCCCTGCAGTGATGCCCTGCAGTGATGCCCTGCAGTGATGCCCTGCAGTGACCATGATGCCCTGCAGTGATGCCCTGCAGTGATGCCCTGCAGTGATGCCCTGCAGTGATGCCCTGCAGTGATGCCCTGCAGTGATGCCCTGCAGTGATGCCCTGCAGTGATGCCCTGCAGTGATGCCCTGCAGTGATGCCCTGCAGTGATACCCTACAGTGATGCCCTGCAGTGATGCCCCACAGTGATGCTCCACAGAGCAACGCCCCGCAGAGACGCGGACCCGTGCAGGATTTCCCCTCGACGAGCATTGCCCGGCTCCACCCAGCTCCACCCAGCATTGCGCGCGCTGTGTGGGGATTACGACCCCGTCTAATTCAGATTGGTCAGCGGCCACTCCGGCCGCACATCCCGCACCGCCTTCCTGTTCTTTGCCTCCCGTTTTCCAAACTCTCCCGCCGCTGCTCGTTCCGCTTCACCCCCACCCATCGGCTGGCCGTCTTGCCCCCTCCCCTCCTCCTACCCTTTCCATGTGAGCTTATCGATGCACTAAAACGCCTTGCGCGCCACGCCGCGCACAACGAAAATCGGAAAAAGATAGGAACAAATGCAAAGTGCGCGCGCTGAGCCGGGCGGCTGGGGCAGGGCAAGAAAAAGGGAGATATAAAAGGTGCGTGCAGATAGGGCCGGTCACTGGGAGGGCTGGCCGGGGCTGGCCGGCGGGGGTGCCGTCGGGGTGCCGGGCTGGACGTGGCGGACAACGGATGGGCCTCGAGCGCGATAACTACTTGGAAGTCTCGGCCCGAGTCCGCCGGGCGCAGGGCGGCGCAGGGGGTTGGAGGGCCAGGTAAGGGATATATGGAGCGGCTCCGGATCGAGCGCCACTTAGCAGCGCGGACCTACACTTAAAAACCCACACCGTAAAACCTACAGGGCTCTGCTCGCTGCGGGTGACCGGAAGTGAGATTCACAACGGAAGTGCCTTGAATCAAGGCATGCGTCGTGAAGATATCCATGGGTTACTTTCCTTGGTCAATCCCCTCCCAAGGAGAGGCACATAGAATTGCTTCGACCTGCGACATCACCAACCGTTCAATACATGCAAGACGCTCTTGCAACAACAAAAAAACTTACTCATTCATTGCACTTTTTCTCTGTTATTCCACCTTCACGTTCCTGTGTGTATTTTGTCACGTTCGTTTCGTGTCGCGTTCCAACAAATGTGACACCATATTGACAAAATTCACATTCCATATCGAATATGGCGTCAACCTTGTTGAATGGCAGTGCCGAAAGCCCGTCCCGGCCCCACGCTCAGGCCGCGAGTCTGCTTGAGTTGTTTCCATTCCGAAAAGTGCCGTCCCATTCCCGCAGATTATCAACACCACCTGCCACCCCCCCGGCGGCCCCGAAGCCGTGCGGCACCGCACGGCCAGAACGAGCAAGTTATACCAGGTGGACGGAGGCCTGCGGAGGCCTGAGGAGGCCGGGGCGGGGGAGAGGATGCCCTTATACGCGTCGCTCCGCATGCCAAATGTCTGGGCCGGTCCCTTCAGGTCCCTTTACTGCAGATTGGGAGCCCTTACCCTTCCCCACGACGCACGTCTCAGCGTGCTGTGCCCGCCTCACCTCAACGCAGCCCCTGGGGTGAGTTTTCATTTTTCTCCAGATTCGCTTGTCTGGAGGGGCGGTTTGGTTCGCGCTGCAACTCCGCGCGCAACACACTCGCCTTTGGCCGCCTCTCTCTTGCCTTTCCCGGCGCCAGATTCGCCTCACGCGTGCAATATGCTGCCAGTTCTCTGGTTTTGATGCAGTCTGGCTGGCACGCCCGACAGCCCGACGGAGACTTTGAAGCATAAAACAGGCTAAGACTTACCTTCCCCCTGGTAGATGGGAGTCCAGGTGACGTTGGAGGGGACCGCGCGGGTCCGGGCGGGCTGGTTCCCCTTGGCCTGCTTGTCCTTGGGGGCGTCGCGCCCCGTGTCCCTCACGGCGCACAGCAGCTCGGGGGGCCACAGCAGCAACAGGGCCCCCGCCAGCCACAGCAAAGACCCCCTGCAGGGACCCCCACGGGGCCCCCCGTGGGGCTGGGGCGTTGCTCGCATGGCCGCCTCACCTCATGTGCCCCATGGGCCACCTGCAACAGGAGCGACAAGGCTCAATGAGGGCGCCGTGTCATACCAACGACGCAATGGTCCGCGTCCGTCCTCATGTTCAGGAAGAAGAAAACAATGTTTGCTGTTCGAATGCGTGCCAACGATCTTTTCCTTGGTCCTTTGATTGCCATCAGCGAAGAAAGATTTAAAAAATCTAATATTTGCTTTTTTTAGCAGAAGCAAGTTTTAAGCCATTCCATGGCTTGAAACCTGTCTCTGCTCAAGAGAGCAAACAGCAAAACAAAATTTAAAGCTCCCGTTTTTAGACAAAAACGGCAAGAATTTACTGTTTTCTTTTGGTTTGAGTCGGCGCGTGGGGATGAAGGGACGAGGCCCCTCTGCGCCTAAAGCAAGACAAACACCGGAAGGACTCGCAAGACACGCCACAAAAGGCGCCGTCCTTTTGGCAGCCCTTTCCCTGACAGGTGAGGACGGCGGCCCCGGGGCACCCCAGGGCGTCCACTGGAGCAGACGTAGCGGAAACTAAGGTGACCAGGGCGCCCCCGCCCCTCGACCGCCGTCCAGGACTTGCATTAAGGAGGCTGCTGTGATTCATGGCCGCCAGTGGGCCAGCCGTGGATCCGATTCGAGATATTGCCCAAGTTGTTGCCATCGAATGCCATCCGAGGGAAGGGAGCGTGGGGGCGTTGCACTCGGAACCAACAGTCACGCCTTCCGGGCAGGCTCGCTGAACAAAGCGAACGCCATGAATGAATCAAGACACGTTAGTTTCGCACTCATGATTGATGCTGAGTGCGTCCCGGACTGTCTGCCGCTGTCCGGCCTGTCCACGCTGTCCTCCCCTAACCCCGATGAGCGGACAACTTTCCCCACCATTAAGAGCCCCGGCCGGGCCTCGGCTCGACGGGCCCCGAGGGGGCGTTGGGGCTGAAGGCCAAGATTGGACAGGTAGGGTCACAGGAAATGATGAAGCGACGCGGAGAGAGAGCGAAATCTAAAATTACTGTTCCGAAAAAATCACGAACGACTGAAACATTTCAGTGTAATAACGATTTGAGTAATCCGTTAATCGATCAGCAGCTACTCCATTGGTGTGCAAACGTTCTGCGGCGCTGTTAATCTCTTCTCTCTCTCTCTTTTCCCAAGTCTTTTTTTCTTCCGCTAATCTGGGCCACGTCCCTCGAGCACAGGCAGGTAGGCTGGCGGGGGTTAGAGTGGGGGTGGCCGGATTTCAATTCCCACCCACCCACCCAAGCAGGGTACGTTTCGAAATCCGCCTCTGAGCAGGACCAGCCTTAGCCTTGGCTTAGACTGGCCTGTGCCTCATACCAAGTGTCCCAATCCGATTTAGCCATTAGTTTTTCCCCCTTCAGTATTTTCCACTGCCTGCCACGCCACCGGAACACAGGGACGAGCTACTTTTTCCCGAGATGCTCTGATTGCGCTAACAATTCATTACAGAGCTCTGGAGCCAAATCGACAAAGCAGATTCTGTTTATTTCATTATGATAACGAGGTGAAAACCGTCCCCATGTTCATAATGAAGGAAGGATCCCTCTCAGGCGATAGTGCTCCGATGCGCTATTGGCAAATGCAGAACCAGGCAGAACAGACGCTGGGACCATCGACACTGTCATCACATTTTCGACTCGCGATTTTCAAAGTTCGCCAGTCAAGCGAAGTTTGGATTGGCTTACTTAGTCCCGTCCTCTCGCGGGGGCCGTGTGATTGTTTCCCACTCCTGGCCGCCCCCCGAGACCCGCCCCTCCCCACCTCCTCCAACTCAGCCGGGCTCAGCGCCGCTGACGTCAGCCTGTTGCCTTGGCCCCGACATTTTTATTCTCGACACTGTCGAAAATCCGGACTAATTAGTGACGAGATAACGATGTTCGCCGTTAACGACGGAGGCTGGTAGTGTTGACAGATAGACACGCCCTGGTGAAGCAGTGTCCCGACAAAGTAGTGCGCCGCTTGCCATTTATTCGCGTCCAAAGGGGTTCCCCGGGCAAATGAGCGTTTTGAATAACGTGATGCGAGAGGTAATCTTCCTGGTTGAACTAGGACCAAGATGGCACCCCGCCTCCGCCCACCTCCCGAACATCCCCGGCGCATAATCTCGCCATAATGCGTCCGTAAGGTATTCCACGGGTGCAGAATCCCGTTACTCCCCTGTCGGTGCCACCGCCGCCCTAACCGTCAAAGAACCCTGCGCGCGTTCCGCGTTGTGGCCGATGGATGCAGCAGCCTCCCCTGTCCGTTCTGGGCTCATCCCTTCCTCCATTATCCGCCGTCTCCCCGTTGGCTACCGTTGGCTCAACACTCAAATTATTCAGGTTGCGCCCTTTCAGGGTATTCCACAGTGATCCCTTATGGCTGGCCTATTCAGCGATACGCCCCTTCCCCGCAGGCAGACGTTCAAAACAGATGGAGCAAATGGTGCCGCCTCTGTTCCTCCTAATGGAAGAGGGAGGAACGAAGGGACAGGTGTTGGCTGCGTGCAAAATGAATGAAACGTTGCTGTCCATCAGCAGCAGTGCCAGTTCAGCAGAAATGAAGCAGGGCAGAATCACATCCCAGCAGTGAGCCAAAAATAGCAGACATGAAAATGCGCTATTCTAGCTGTCGTCGACAAGTACAAAGAAAAGCACTAAACCACGAATAGCCTGCATCGCGGGAGAATAAGAAGAGGCCACTTTAAAAACTAGCAAAATTTCTTCTGAAAAAAACTTTCAAAAACTTAAAAATTATTGTACTATAAGGAATATAAGGGGTTAAAGTGCCGGTGCCATGTCTGCTTTTGTACTTTGTTGGTCACATGCTGACGACAATAGTCTGAATTATGCAATACAGCAGAAATTTGGAAAAGAGAAATGTTTTTTTTTTAAAGCCACAAGAGAGGGTAATACCAACATTCCTAAGTCCGCAGTGACGCGAAGAAGACGCAACTTGCGTGACAGTTACAACACTGCGACTATGGCAACTCTGGTCCACGTCAGACAAAAGCAAATCCTGGCATTTTCCCGCCAAATTTGCCGCCCCCTCAATAGGCAGACGGCTTGGGGTAGGGGTCCACACAGACTTGGGGCCAAACCGCGGCCAGGCTCGGCCTGTCTGTTGTTCAAGTGGATTAGCCCTTTCTCTACGAGTTGGAATTGTAAAGCAGGGCGGGACGGCCGCTGCGTACCTTTGTCCTCCTCGTCGCTCTCGCGCAGTCAGGCAGCGAGTGTGAGAGAGGCAGACGCAGCATGATGAGGGTCTTTGGGCAAAGCTCTGACCCCCTGCTTTTTATTGCGCCATTGGTAATAGGGTGAATGGGGCGATAGCCGGGAAGGGGTTGGACTGCAGGATGTATGAATAGGGGTAGCAGCCCAGGGTGGGAGTAGAACTCACGAAGGCTTAGGTGGGTAGTAGCCCATGAGGGGTAGAGGTCGCCGCTAGGAGAGGAAGCAGGAAGGAAACTGGAGTTTGCAACGGAGGAGTAGCCAACCGGTAGGTGGCCTGCGGTGGGGTGGGGAGGTGGATCGTTGGTCCCATCAGGATCAAGCTAGCCCAGGGGCCAGGCCGTGGCGTGGGCCCCCTGCAGGTGAGCTGAGCCATGCGGGCACTACCTAATTGAAGTCCCGGCGGACCCTCCATCTCCAGATTATTTCCTTCTCAAACAAGTTGCTACACTTTCGCCCGCATGCGGCTCGGCACCTTGAAAAGCAGCCGCGATTTCTGCTAGTGCAGCGAAAATAAGGCTGGGGGCGCGGCAGCCGGCGTCTTCTGCCATCTGTTATCCCTGATGCCTCACTGGAGACACATCAGTGTGGCCCGGAGAGCCAGCCCGGCAGGCCCTTGCCAAAGCAATCCGAGAAACTTAGCGACGTCAGTGTGACGACCTTACCGGCCAACGGGACTGCCAAGCGGTGGCCAAAAGGCTTCAGCAGGACAAGCACACAGCGTGGGAGTGCAAGAGGAGAGGCGGTGAGGTAGGCGGTAGCAATGTGCGAGGCAGAATTATCCCGGCAGCAAGGCACAGGGGGAAAGCCCCAGTTTTCCGGCTGGGCGTGTAGGATGATGTACAGCCACGCCGCGCCACGCTTTCGTGTGTGCAACTCGGGCCAACGAATGTATCACTGCCAGCCACCATGCAGTAGTGGGCCAGCTCGGTGGTGCTGCACGAGTACCATGCCGTTAAAAAGTTTCAGCAACATAACGGACCGCTCACAGTTCAGCACAAACAAAAATTGTTTTAGAAGGAAACCAAAAGCACCTTGGAATTCAAGAAGGAATATCAGTGACGAAAAAGACTATAAAACTAATAAAATAGTGGTTTAACGACTGTGTCAGGGATAAAGTGAGTTTGTTCGTAAAATCCCCCTTGACAAGGCTAAACTCACTGGATCTAATCTGTTTTTTTTTAAACCAGGCTCAACGAGAAAATATTTCCAAACCTGTTCCAATTTACATTTGTTTCATATATTTATTCCTACCAAAATCTTTGTACGTCACAGCCAGTTTCTTTGGCGCCGAATTTCCCAACGGATTATCATCTCGTCTGCGCTTATGCCAGTCCTTCCGGCCGACACACTAGCGCCACATTTTCATCGCGCAAATGGCAAATGGCACGAGCGCCGCGGGGAGTGAGACGTAGGGGGGAATGATGATGCGAGACGCCTGCCGCACGGCGCGCACTCGATCAGCCACTCCCCTTCCCGCCCCCTTTCACACCCCAATCACACATACATTCCGTGACATGAAAACAGGTGCGGATGATACAAATCGCCTTTTGGGATCCTCTTGCAATCCTCTTCAAGGCGTCCTCGCGTATATGCTTCAAGGGACTCCCGGGATCGCGCTGTTTGGATACACGGGATTGGACCCCGGAGACGGGTTTGGCCGGCGGGCCCCGAGGGCTGGGCGAGGGATAGCCTGATGGGATAGGGGATAGAGCGCTTGCTTCATAGAAATTCGAATTCGCCTGTCAAGCGAAAACCTGGCGGGATCCTCCTGCAGGCACCTCGAAAAAAACGATCCA